ACCACCCGCTCCGCGTGTCTCGCGGTGAGCGCCGCCGCGTCGGCGAGGCCGAGCTCGCTCAGCTCCTTGGCCGTCATCTCGCCCACGGACGGCGCCGCCGCCGGCAGCAGGTTCGCTGGCTTGACCTGGATCGTGCTTCGTCCCTGGCTGAGCGCGACATTCAGCCGTCCCTTGGCCGCGTCGTACCCGAGCACCGTCACCCGCTGCCCGTTGAGCTCTGGCCGGCTCTTGAGTCCCGTCAGCACGAGCCGCGTGCCAGCCTCAAAGGGCGGCGGCGGAGCGGCCGCAGCTGGCTGCGGCTGGGCGGCGGCCGCGGGCGGCGGCGGCTGGGCGGCGGCGGGTGCCCGCGGTGCGGATGGAGGCGCGAGTGCTCGACGTCGACGCAGCACGAAAATCAAGGCGCAGGCCGCCAGCCCAGCAAGGGCCGCGGCCGAAACAGCAACCTCTCGGCGGCGCGACATACGCTCCGGCTGCCGAGAGCGCGCCAGCCAGAGGGCCGCAAACACACAGATAGAGTAGCGCGGATTTCTTGTGCGGCGTCTCAAACAAAGGCCGAGGCGAGCAATCGAAGTGTCAAAGGATGAAAACAGCAGACGGGAGGGCCCTCGCAGCAGCCGGGGCCGAATCCTGCAGCCTTAGTCTTGGCCCGATCCGGCGGCATGCCACGCACGGGTAGGCGCGTTGAGGCTTGCCTCCTCCTCTGCGCCAACGCGGCTTGTGCCGCAGCTTGCGTTTGCTGCCAGACAAGAGGAGGAGCAGGGCCGTTTGGCGATAGGGCCTGTTCACGCGCTTCAGTGAGTCCAAAGTGAGTTTATGACTGGCTTCATTCATTCAGGGCCACGGCGACCGCCCGCGCTGGACGCGGCTGCAGAGTGTTCACGCGCGCGCGAGACGTGCAGACAGGGTTGCCAGGTGACTAAAATCTAAATCTCTCTCTCTCTCTCTCTCTCTCTCTCTCTCTCTCTCTCTCTCTCTCTCTCTCTCTCTCTCTCTCTCTCTCTCTCTCTCTCTCTCTCTCTCTCTCTCTCTCTCTCTCTCTCTCTCTCTCTATACAAGGAAGGGACCACAATCTGCAACAGTGCAGTGAGGAGTTCCTCTGGGGAGGCGGGGGCCCTAGTAAGATAGAGGGTACCCATGCGGGGGGGGAGATGGGGTACCATGGCCCGCCGCAGGCGCCGAAATTTTCGGGATTTTTTCTCCTTGCGCGATTTTTCACTTGTTTTCAGTGTATGTGGCTCTTACGAACATACCCGAGGGTGAACTGACTAGTCGAGGTAGATGGGTGACGCCTGGGTTGATCCGTTGGGAGAGAGAGATTTCTAGCAATACCAAACAACTCTAACACTGAGGGAGGGTTGTAGAGGATGTAGAGTGTAGAGCGCTGCAGAGCTGTAGAGCTGTAGAGCGCTGTGGAGCTCTAGAGCTCTACATCCGCCGCGTGACGAACTGCGTGCGTTGTAGAGCGATGTAGAGCGCGATTTTGCTGTAGAGTGTGTTGTAGAGGCTCTACAGCCAAACCGCCGGGAAGGCAGTGACTCAAAGAGGTCGAGCCGCGCTAATGGGGTGTCTCCGAGCTTACTGGAGCTCTGATGGACGGCCCTGACTATCCCTGACACACAGAGAGTCACTCTGACGACACACAACACCCTACAACTGCGTCATGACCAGCCTGCCATGCGTCGCCGGTGCCGCATTCGTCGCTGTGCTTCTTTAGCAGGCGGTGGACTGTCGGCTGCGAGGACGGTCGCATTTGCGCGAGGCGAGGCGAGCATTCAGGCGCGTTGCATGCGCCATGACTCGCGCCAGCGCGTGCGGGAGCTCCTGTGGCTGAGCGTTGAGTCCAAGCTAGTTGCGCTGGCCACTATCGCTACGCCGAGCCGAGCTGACGCGCCGGGGCGCCGGCCAGTCGCAGCCGTGAGGCATGCCACAGCAGCAGCAGAAGCACCTGCCGCCCATTGGGCGGGCAGACAGAAGGCCAGGGCAGCACTGGCAAGTGCAACGCGCCTCATGTCGGAGAGCGACCGTGCCTCGTTCGCCGCTTATGATGTAGAGTTTGTTGTAGAGATTTCTACACGTTGTAGAGCGCCTCTACATCGCTCTACAACGCACGCAGTTCGTCACGCGGCGGATGTAGAGCTCTACAGCTCTACAGCGCTCTACAGCGCTCTCCAACGCTCTACACCTCTACAGCTCTACAGCGCTCTACACTCTACATCCTCTACACGCTCCCTCAGCTCTAACACTCACACGTCATTTGGGGCCGTTGGGTGGGATAGTGCTGCACCGACCCGAAGGGGTCGGTATGCGGAGGTACCTCACGGCAGGCCACCAGTGCCGCTGCCTCCTCCAGTCCTCCTTCTTCTTCTCCTCCTCCGGCCCTCCATCCAGCGGCCCCGCCGCCCACAGTGGGAGGTGCCACTAAGGAAGAAGGAGAAAACTAGGCCCCAGCGATCTCAACAGTGCGTAAGAGGCCGTGTATAGGAGAAGCACGGGCGAGATAAGAAGAAGAAATGCTATAGAAAAGAAAGAATGTGCTTTTCACCGAAAATCGCCTCGGCTGGTCGAATTGGCACCGAGAGAGCACGATGCGCGATGCGGCTATGCACATGTCTCTCGTCCTTCTCGTGGCGTTCACGGACCGCTCAGTCTCGTACACGTCTTCTCGCCACCTCCAGCACAAACCTTCCACGCCAGCAGCAGTGATGATGGTCGAGCGACGAGTCGGCGACAGCGAAAACAGCGACGACGACGAATTGATTTCCTATGAGGACTGGGACCTGGCATGGAAGCGGCATGCGCTGGGCAGCATCATCGAGGCGTATGAGGTGATTGAGGTGGAATCTGATGCAGATGAGACCTCGTGCCGCGACAGTGCTGAGGCTGGACGAACCGCCGCCATTCGGGAGTTCCTGCAAACGCTTCAGATCTGCTCATTCGCGACGCTACTGGTCTGGTCCTACACAATAGCGACGGGTGGCCTCCTCCTCCTCCCCACACAAGGTGCTGGAGTTGCCCTCTACCACCTCCGGGATGTCGCTGGTGGAGACCAGCTGACGCAGATTGGAACCTACTAGCGGAGATCTGGCCGTGTGTCAAGTCGCAACCAAGTTCTAACCATCCTCTCGTTGTAGTCCTTTTTGACCCAACACGCGAGAGAGAGATCTATCGTACCACGCGGGATCATTTACCAATTTCCCGGTTCACTACACACTAGTGTTTTTCGTGTGTGTGATAGGGCCTTAGGCGTGTGTTTCCCCCACAGCCCACACACGCCACACACGCTGGCCCGGGTGCTGGCCCCCCCCACGGCCCACGGCCACAGCCCACGCAGGCCCCAGCGCTGCTGCTCCTCTGCGCTGCCCCTCTGCTCTCTCGTCTCTGCTGCTGCGCCCGGGACACGCACCACACACTCTCGCGCGCGAGAAGAGAGGGTATCAAAACCTGGGTCTGGCTCTGGCGAGGTGTGTCTCTCCGACGACCGACACCCTCTCCAGATGTCAGTACTCTCTCTCCCACACAACCTTGCACGCAAGTCAAACGCAGCTCGTACGCTGTACTCTGTATGTACACAGCACCAACCCAGCCGCGCGCGTGGTCCCGTGCTGCCCACTCCCTCAGTCTGGTCGGCCGCTCCTCGCTGTGGGCGAGAGGGGGGGGGAGGAGGGGGGCTAGCGCGCACGCTCCTCGCTTCCTCGCGGCCGAAGGTGCCCAGCGCTCTACTTCTTGCGCGCATCGTCGAGCGCGTCCTTGATCTGGCCGGCCTGCTGCTCGAGCAGCTGCTTCCGCGCCTCCTTTTGCGAGCGGAAGGGCGCACGCACGGCGAACGGCGCCCTGAGCTTCTCCTCGATCGCCTCGCGCGTCGCGGTGGCGGGCGAAGCCCCGGCCTCCCGCGGCCTCGTATACGGCACCTGCTCCGACGCCACCGCCTCCTGGCTCCAAGTGCCATACAGCACCTGCTCGGCCGGCGACTCTTCGTCCAGCAGCTCGCCCATCGAGCGGACCATGTCGCCGACGGAGCGGACGGCGCCCATGGAGTCGTCCATGAAGGGGAACTGCAGCTTTTGCGCGAAGCTCAGCGTCTGCGGGAAGGCGGCGGCGGGGAGCAAGCCCGTGCCGGCCGCCACCGCGTGCGTGGTGCTGTCGAAGAGCTCAACCGACGCGGGGCTGTTTGGCGAGTCGATGAAGGCCTGGAAGACTTCGGCCTCCATCGGGGCCTTCGTCTCCCACAGCGTGAAGACCGACACGCCACCCTCTCCGCCGGCGGGCAGCAGCAGATGGTTGTGCAGCTGCGCCGGGTGCGGCGAGGTGAGGCGGCCGGCGTTGCGCACGCGGTCACAGAGCGCCTCGGCGGCGCCCTCGGCGAGTGGCACGTGCCGCACTAGAAAGTACGAGCCCGTCGTCTCGGCGGCCAGCGGCGGCGGCGGAGCGTCGCCGTCCTGCAGCTCCGCCGCCTTGCGTGCGACCGCGTGGCGGTTGAGGTCCTTGCGGGCGTCGACGCGGAGGAGGATGGCCTGCCGCGCAAAGGAGGGGTGCCGCGCGAGCACCTCCGAGGACGAGGTCGGCCATGCGGACGGCGGTGTCGTCGCCGGCGGCAGCAGCGGCGAGAGCGTGGTGATGGGGAGAGGCGTCCCAGTCTCGGCGTGCCTGGGAGGGGAGGGAGCGAGTGTGTGTTGTCCGGCGCGGTCTAGCACGTGACTAGTTGACTCTCAACATAGCCATACTCAGCCAGCGGCCCAGCGCGCGCCTCCGCTCAAACTCGTCGCGCGTGAGCGGCTCGGCGGTCTCGTAGAGGGAGAGGATCGGGCCGACGGTGCCGGTCGGGAGGAAGTAGTGCGTAAATAGGCCTGACGATACATGTGGCGTGGACGTGATTGGAGACATGCACGAGAGGCTGCACGAGGGTTCCTCTTGGGCGCTCGCTCTGGCTCACCGGCATCGTGCTGAGCCAAAGCCATTTTGTCAAACCGAATGTCCGCTATATCCGTCCACCTGGTGGCGAGACGGGGATGTAGAGTGCAGCCTGTTCTTAGGGCAGGGGCAGTGGAGGGGCGCAGACCAGTCCAAGGCGACCTCTTCGTCGCTTTCGAGAAGGTCGTGGTACACGAGCCAGAAATTGCCAGCCATGGCGGGCGGACGCGCGCGTGGCGCGATATTCGGTGACGGAACGCGCGGCGCGAACAGCGAGCGTGCGTGCAAAAGGATCATCACGAGAGGTGTGAGCTGGGGGGCCGAGCCTCGAAATCATCAGTTTTGGGTGCGGATGCGGTGCCATCCTAAAAATGAAGCGAAACAATTTCATTCTCCCATGGGTTAGGGAAGGAGAAGGGTGAGCGTGAGCGGGGCCCCGCGATCCCTAAATTATTTTTTGGAGAGAAACGAGACTCCCCTCCTCCGCTTCGCGCCTGTGGAGCATGAAAGAGCTCTTCTGGGCGGCGCGGCACGGCAGGGTGGCCGAGATTGGCGAGGCTCTCGCCGCCGGCGCCGACATCGACTGGCGTCACCCGGTTGATGGCCGCACTCCGCTCGGCGCCGCCGCAGCCTTTGACCATCTCGACGCGCTCCAGGCCGATAGGTTCGAGATGGCCGACACGGAGGGGTGCATCAACACGTACCTGCCGCAGCATGTGACGCGGAACCGGATTCTCGACTTTCAGGGTGAGACGTGGAAGGACTAGCGCGAAACGGAGCGGCCCAACAAGAACTATGCGCGCGCTCCGGGCTGGTCGAACGTGCAGTACCAGATCAGGGGGTACATCGTCCACCCCAAAGTGCAAAGTCCAAAGACCTCGTCAAGGTGCGCGCGACATAGTTCACATGCCAAGGTATGCGGGCGTGTGAGTGAGTTTCAAATTCTTCAGCTTCATCCGCAACCCGGAGAGCACTAGGAGAACTTGGGTCGGTGTCCGCGACTTCTTTTGATCGTGCGCCTCTTGGCTGCCCGAGTGTCGGCAGCCTGCTAAGCGACGAAGCGAACTGTCGGCGAAGCCTTCAATCTGCCACGGTCTCCAGCCATGGCAGCAAGCGATGCGGTCGACAATTTTACAAACGACAGCGCCATGATGATTGCGTGGGAGCGGGCGCTCGAGTCAAAGCGGCCCGACGCTCTCTTTGTCGACCCGCTTGCTGAGGCGCTGGCTGGCACCAAGGGCGAGACGCTCTCGGCAGGCTTCGGCAACATGAGCCAGATGTTTGGTTTCGAGGACTGGGCCGCGTTTCACAAGACGTGGGTCGCCGTCCGCACCCGTTTCATCGACGACAGAGTCAAGGAGTGCGCATGCGGCTTTAAGCAGCTTGTGAATCTCGGCGCCGGGATGGACACGCGACCCTACCGCCTCGAGTGCTACAAGGCGTTTGCCAATGGCTCCTTCAACGTGGACATGAAGGTGGTGAACGACGGCAAGGCTCGAATCTTTGAGCGCGTGCTGCAGGCGCATAATAATAAATGACGGAATGCCTCAGGGGACGTCACCAACGGCTCGTCACCACCTGGCCTCGCCTTGCCTCAGGCGCCAGCCGCGCACTGCCCTGTGCATCGCGTCGATCTCGACTTTAAGGACGAGGAGAGGACGCTAGCCACGGAGTTGGGGTCGGAGGGATCGGCCTTCGATGCCGCCGCACCGGCGCTATTCATCGCCGAGGGTCTGATTATGTACCTTGGCGCCTTGGGCAAGATCAAGCTGCTGAAGGACGTCTCTGCGGTGGCCGCGCCGGGGTCCGTCTTTGTGTTGCAGTACATGGACGCGTCTGAGAGCGAGGTGGCCAAGTCGACGCCGGGCGCACTGGATAATGCTCTCAGCAAGGAGGATGCGACGCGGGAGCTGACCGAGCTTGGGTGGACGGACTTTGAGTTTAGCAAGTTTGGCGACGAGAGGCTGGACTTTGCGCGCTTCCCCACGGGACGATTCCCGCCGAGCGCAGCCTTTTCCTTTTGCGTGTGCATCCGACGTGAGGACATCAATGCTGAGGTGTGTGAGGACCTCTGTCACGGCTCACGCTCTGCATGAGAACAGAGAAGCACTTGTGGAGCACTTAAGTTCGAGATGGTTTTTTGTCTGCGCGCGCGAGTTTTTTTTCTACCTAACCTCACTCGGACAACCTCACCCAAAACAACAAAAACCTTCCCAACCGAACGAGCGAACTAGGCTCTCTAGGGGTCGCGGTCGGGAGGGGAGATTTGGGGTCGGCCAGAATAGCCCGTGTGCACGCTTTTTCGCTCTCCATGCATCCTCTTACATGTTTAAGAACACACGGGCAGCGCCAAGACTCACAAAAATAACGGCCAACCGGACGTGCGATCTCGCAAAATCTCGATTTTCTGGCTGGCCAAGAAACGCTTCAAAATTCTTTTTTGGAACACTCGCGCCTGGAGCATGAAAGAGCTCTTCTGGGCGGCGCGGCACGGCAGGGTGGCCGAGATTGGCGAGGCTCTCGCCGCCGGCGCCGACATCGACTGGCGTCACCCGGTCGATGGCCGCACTCCGCTCGGCGCCGCCGCAGCCTTTGACCAGCTCGAGGCGCTCGAGGCACTCCTCGCCGGCGGCGCGGCGTTGGAGGCGCGCGAGTCCGAGACGGGACTGACGCCGCTCGGGGTTGCGGTCCTCGAGGGATCGGCGCGCTGCCTCGGCGCGCTGCTGCGAGCTGGCGCCGATGTCGACGCGACGGATGCCGACGGGTGGACGCCACTGATGCACGCGGCGGCGCGGAACCAGCTGTTCGAGGCGCAGAGCCTCAAGGCTGCGGGCGCCTCGCTCGGGGCCAACGTGGACGGTGTCGGCGCGCGGGAGCTCGCCGCCTCCGAGGGCCACGACGCAGTGCTTGCGCTCCTCAGCCAGGTCGTCAAGCCCTCCCTCCTCCCTCTCTCCCCACCCCCTCTCCTCCCTCTCTCCCCACCCCCTCTCCTCCTCCCTCTCTCCTCCTCCCCGCCCCCTCGCGTATGGCCGCTCCCCTCGCATTCCGCCGGCGCCCGTCGCCGCCCTCGCTGTGCCACCATGGCCCAACCAGCCGCCGCCTCTCACCGCAGCCCTCCTCTCCGTCCCTCACCGCCAGCCTCCTCCTCCTCCTCCCCAGGCGCAGCCGCCATCCGCCGCCAAGCTCGAGTCCAGCGGGCCCGCCGCGGCGGCCACGACGCCGCAGCTCACCGACAGCGGCGCGGCTGTGATGGCTTCGGCGCCCATCGCCGCACTTTTGCAGGAGGGTGTGGTGGGCGATGCGGCCTTAGCCGCTTCTGCGGCCGTCGCCGGCGCCGCCATGAGCGGCGGCGACGGCGGCACTTGCGCGTCGACGGCCGAAGGCGCGGCGGCCAACGGCGCGTCCACATGCGTCGACGCCGGCGCGGCTGGCGGCGAGCGCGGCGTGAAGCGGGCGCGGTGTGCGGCGCCGGTGAGCGGGCAGGCGGCGGCCATGGCGGTGGAGGTTCTACAGGACGGGGACGACATCGTCGTGCAGCTGCACAGCAACGACATCGTGCGCCCGCCGTTCCCCCCCCCCCCCCCCTCCCTTCACCCACACGCCCCGCCCTGCACACCCACACGCCCGCGAGCCCCCTCCCCCTCCTCCTCCTCCTCCTCCTCCTCCTCCTCCCCCTCCCCCTCCCCCTCCCCCTCCCCTCCCTCCTCCTCCCCTCCCCCCTCCTCCCCCCTCCCCCCTCCTCTGCGAGCCGTAGCCCAACACTCGTCCAGCACGACCCCCGCCCTTTGCAGGTGCGCCTCTCGCCCGAGAGCGGCGAGCTCACCCTCGCCTCCGGCGGATGGCGCACTGCCTCCACCCTCGAGGCGACTGCTCTCCCCGGCCCCGGAGCTTGCGAGCCGCCTCTTTCTCCTCACCCGGCGTCATCCGCCAACAGGCAATCAACGGCTCGCTCGCGGAGCTGCTGCCGGAGGCGAGCAGAGAGACGGCAGAGAGACGGCAGAGAGACGGCAGAGAGACGGCAGAGAGACGGCAGAGAGACGGCAGAGAGACGGCCGAGAGAGATGGCCGAGATGGAGCCGAGCTACTGCCCGGCGCGATCACGCCTCCCACCGCGCCGCCCTCGGGAAGAGAATCCTCTCCAACACGCGGCCGCGGCCGCCGTGCTCAGGCGCGCTTGTCGATCAGCATTGCCGCAAACGGCGAGTGGCAGGCGCAGCGACTGCCCCCCCTCTGGCCCTCCCCTCCACCCTCCCCTGACGCCCCCTCGCTGCGGGTGGCAGGTTCACGACGGCTCGGGCGACTCGGTCCTCTTCGCAGACGGACTGGTCATCCCCACGACGGCCGACAAGCCGCTCCAGCGGGCCGGCATCGGTGCCGCGCGCCTCGTCTCTGCTCCGCCTCAGCCCCCGCGTCGCGCCCTCACGCCCCTCCCCCTCGGCCATGCAGGGGCTCCGAAGCCGCTCCTCTCTGGCGCCACGGCGGGCGCTCTCGGCGGCGGCGGCATGGGCGCGATGGGAGGCGGCTTGGGCGGCGGGTGCGCGGGCGGCGGCGGCGGCGCACCGAGGCAGGCGCCTCACAGCGGCGTGATGGGCGGCTGCGGCGGCGGGGGGGCGGGAGGCATGATGGGGGCGGGCGGCGTGGTGAACGGCGGTGCAATGGGCGGCGGCGGCGGAGGAGGTCCGGCTGCGTTGGCCCTGGTGATGAACAAGCTGCAGGCGGACTCCCACCCA